CCCCAAAACCCCAAAACCCCAAAACCCCAAAACCCCAAAACCCCAAAACCCCAACTAATATAAATGGTCGTAAAAACTAATAATATCAATTTAATCTCTAAGTTTTTAAAGTAATGCAAAATATTTTGACATACCCACCTCAGCTCCAAGGAGCTGCTCCTTATGTACTGATATCTCCGGTTATTGGTGCTGGCTCTGAGCCAATGCTGATGCCAGCATATCCAGCTGGAGGAGTAGGGCCTGTAGCATTTCTCACAAACCCCTTCGTAGCATGGACAGATGGAGAGCAACAGCAGCAACCTTCCCAGTGCCAAGAAGGTGATAAAGGTAAATTATAAGGCTAATTGTAGTAAATACAGGGACCAAACTGTATCTTTCAATTAAAAATAGCTAGCTTTTTGCTCACTTTGAATTTTCATCTGGCAACCTTATTATTTCAAGTATCTGCCAATAAATTCCTGTATCCAAGACTGTTTGAATTTTTATACTGAACTTACTCGAGTAACTAGAAGTATGCTAATTGTGGATAAAAATGTTTGTGATAAATTCCTAAAAGTATTGAACTTCAGTATAGTTAAAACTTCAAGAACTTATCCATATGTGCAAGAGATCCATGAAGGAGCTGGATTGTATCCTGGATATTATAAAGAATATGAAACATCACAGCAGGATTGTAGAAAATGTTATAAAGAACTTCCTACACTCAATCAAGTCTCAGAAGAACTCGTAAACTTATATGGCCACCAAAGTTCGCCCATTTTGTCCAAGAATTTATATCCAGAACAAAATTTCAACAGTGAATTAGTTTGAAGAAGTTCAGAAAAATCAGATCTCAACCAATCAACGACTAGCATGGATAGCCCTAAGCCAAGACTTTGTTCAAAAAGCTTGATGGAAAGGGGTAACAAGCCCATAAGGCCACTTGACTCTTACTGCTTTTGCTATAATTTTTCTAAAAAGCTGCACATTCCTAATCAAAACTCTGACCAAAAGGCCATTCTGGTTGAGAGGAAAGAACCCTCATCAGACTCTGTCAGACATAGAAGAAGGTAAGAGGCACTATTAATCTTTCCCACTGATAAAATAAAAAAATTAGTCCTAAACTTCTGATAATTTTCACAATAAAATTATTTGAGGTTAAAATCTGAGTGAGTCACTAAAGTTACCTTCCCAAAATGCTTGCTTAAAGGCAAGCATGAACAACTGTGCCTTTTTATATCCTTTAGTGTCAATTTTTGCAAATTTTAGCCAGCTTAGGCTACATTGGGACGTAAACCTACACTAAATTGCGAATTTGTTCAAAAAGTGGTAAATTTTGTAATTATAGCATTATTTTCTTCCAATAATTTCTACAATAAGTTCAAGGTCAAAGTTGTCCAATTAGAAGTTTTATCAATATAATTATCACAAAATTTTCAGCAGTCTTCCTAAAAATATTAGCTAAAGGAAGTTTTGACTTGTTGTTACCACTTGTATTCTCACAAACAGAAATTATGAAGAAGAGTGCCTCATATTTTTCTGAATTACTGAGCGGAGTTTCGAAAGCAAAGATATGGCCTTACTTATTGCCTAATCTAAGCTGATAGTCCCTATAATTTGTACTTTAAAAAATTAGTTAAAATTTTCCAATACAACCAAGAGTTTAAAAACTAATTACCAGAAGTAAATATGGACTTCTGCAAAACAAAATATTGCACTCCCCAGCTAGCTTGGAAATGAAGCCCCTCCTAGTGTAGTTTGGCGTTCATTACTTTAAATTAATATTTTCTCAACTTTACATCAGCACGTTATAAGGGTTTAATAAACCCAGTTTTGCTGACGAGTGACTACCAGGTTTTTATAATTCTCAAAATTTCATTGTCTGAAGAGCATGATTACTTCATAAATTTCATCGCTGCTGCTGCAGATGAAAAATAGAGTCTCGCTAGAATACCACCCAGTTAGGCATAAATATTAAAATTATAATAGAAAAATCATAATGACCCGGAAATTTTCTATAAAAATTACATTAACTGTTGACCCCCACCGCGATGATTTATTTAATTACCATCTCAAGAGTTAATAGCTAATTTTTCCTCTAGAGCAGAGACGAACTTTCTTGAAGAGCTTGAGCAATACCAAGGAAGCTTCCTGAGGCTCACTTCCTCAATCCAGGATGGAATGAACTCGCCAGCTTTCAGATGCAACATTAATGGCTGCAATAAGGGCTTCCATAGAGCCCAGAATATCGTCATGCATCTGAGAGTTCACTTTGGAATTAAATAACTTCTCTTGTGATTTTTGAGCAAAGAAATTTATCCAAAAGGGGAACAGAGATAAGCACATGAAGCTTCATCTCACTCCCAATATTGAAGAACGCAGAGTTATCAAGTGCCAGTGGTGAGACGTCATGTTCACCGAGAAACATAATCTTCAGGTACGTCTTGATAGTTAGTAATTTTCTAAAAAAAAATAGCTAAAGCCATAAATCGATGAAGGCTCATAATTTTAATCCTGAGTTAAGGAGAAAGATTCCATATAATATCATCTGACTCAAATTTAGATGCATTTGAAGCAAGTGCATAATTGTGACAAAGCCTAAAACCCAAAACTAATAGAGCCTAAAGAGTTTATCATCAACCATATTTGCTGGTTTCAACCACGATGTAATATTAGGGGTTTTGGGGTTTTGGGGTTTTGGGGTTTTGGGG